TCTGTGCCCAGTTTGTATTTGTGCCTGAGATGCTCAAGAACAGCTCAAGGCAGGTATTAATAACGATCCTGCCCTCCTGAGCATTACAGCTGGCTGCTGTCACTGTTGTCTTCAGTCAGTACTTTTCTCTCCAACTTTACAAAATGCGGTGTTTCTGAATTCAAACAAATGAAGCTGAAAAATGCCAAAGCATCTTCTATTCTAGAGTAGCTATCTTCTGAAGACATTAAATAACACAGTACTAACTTTTGCTAGGAAGCCTACCTTATTGACCCATATGTTTCATATTTAACCTTGACTGATTAACAGAAGAGGAAGATGTTTTTCTTCTCAAAGGCTGCTTTTCTTAGGAAACAAAATACATTTTGTATAATTAACTCTTCACATTATACTAGAACTGGGAAATTATTCTTTTAATTGCACCTGGAATCCAGACAGTCAGAGGCCATCACTCTACGACCCATTTATTAACCTCCCCTTCTACTTGTGCTCTTTGTATTTGTTTCTGGGAGACGGTGAAAGTGCATTTCTACCAGACAAACTTCTTCCTAGGAACTGACTTGAGGAAGAAATCCCAACTAAAACTATTTGACATTCAAAAGCTCCATTTATTTCCTCAGGACTTTAATACTTAATACAAAAAAAAAAAAATAAAAAGAAAGAAAAGAACACTATTATTTATTTTAAAAGAAGGCAAAAGGAATTATCAGCAGTGAACACTAGCTATGCAATTGTATTTTAACATTGCTCAGAAACAAGATCCGGGACATGAAAAAAAGAAGCCAAACAAATCCCATGTGCTTTTTGGGACATAGAGATGAAAGATATTTTTCAGTATTGTGGTTTTGCTCTCCAACTACTTAAGACAGCATGGTGAATGCAAAAAAAATGTGAGCCTGCTAAAACGTGGTACTGTACCTCACAGGCAGCTAACCACACAAAGCAAAGGTCATAAGGAGTAATCAGACCAACTGTTATCAGCAAAGCTACGTTTGATCTGGAAAATAGTCAAGACTGGTTTTAGCTTGGGCAAGCGGAGCATCCACCTCTTTCTGTCCAACAGAGGAAAAAGAAAAAAAAAAAGCCAAAATTAGCAGAGAACTGAACAATTTAAATGCATAGCTAAAAAGGGCGTTAACTGATGCTATTCCAAAACTAAAATAGCCAAGAGCATATTCCCATGCTTTTAAATATACTTAGCAGTATTTCCCATTCCCTCCATGTGGAACTCACAACATCTAACTACAAAATTCATCCCCTTCATCCCCTCCTTGGTGTCTCCATAGCTGAAGAGATTAGGAAGTGCAGTCAAAGCAGGGGGCAGGGGAAGGAGAATGGCAAGAATCTTTATCCCTCCTCCCCAAACTCCACCAGGCAGTGTTCAATAAATTCAGCTGGCCCAATTTCAGAAGCAAGCAGCAATGTCAGTTTAGCTGAACTTGTTAACAAGTCCTAGGACACCCAGTGGCCTTTTTTTCTTTCTTTCTGGAGGATGAATCGTAACAAACTGACCGCATTTCTGCAGCAAATTTAGAAACACCACAGTACCCCTGATTTTAATACATTCATAAAACCTAGGCACTTCCAGTCATTCTTCAAAAGCCAGGCTGTACTGACAGAAGCTTTGGACTCACTCCCGCAAGTAATTCCTTGCGTGCAAGTAACTACTCGTCAGTCTATAAACTATTCATGAACACAGAAATTTACAGGACTGAGGCCTTGCCATGACTTCTTGGGAGTCACAAGTCAGGGCTAGTTTTGTCTTTTACTTAAAACTATGTGTATGTTCATACCAAATACCATGATGCAGCAGTATTACCAAAAGCCTAGAGTGGATGCTGAAAGCAATCGAGCTAAAATTATACGGAGTTCCACAGAAGAAATTTTCTCTGCTAAAAAGTAAAGCTTCACGGCCCTGTGGCTAGCCCAGCATGTTTCTGGATGAGACATGTACTAAGTGTAAAATATTTCACCCAATGATGTTTGGTACATCTCTAACACATTTAACCAGAAGCATAAACAATCTAGACACTGAAATACAAACTTATATTTCCTTAAAATCAGTGTTCCATTTTTTTTTTATTTTAAAAATTCAGGAATGTGATACACAATACAATTAGCTCCCCACCCCTGCAGTGTTCACTTACATGAGATTCACTAGTTTCATGCTTTGTGGAAATAAAAAATAAAAAAAAAAAAAAAAAGAGAAGAAAAAGAGACTGTGCAGTTTTCGAATGCTCCCAGTATTCTGGAAGATGGATCTTCAGAAAAATCAAATCTGTGTAAACACAGAACAGGTTAAAAAAAAAAAAAATCAAGCTGTAACGCAAGCTAGCAGGCTAGAGTCGGGTCTCATACAGCCAGAACAAACCAAAAATTGTGTTCCCGTTGCTGTACAGCCACTACCTTGACCTGACTATATGCTTTCAGGGAATTTACCATCGAGGGCTAGAGAGACTGAAGGGCCCCATTAACACCAGCTGGTGCTGCATGTGACAGAGAGGCCACACAACTCCTCCTTCTGCCCCCAGCATCATCATCATCGTCACATCTGCATACTGTCCTAGTAACAAAAATAATGTGGGGGAGAGATTTTTGTCTTATAAGCTAGCCATTGCCTGCAATGGACACAGAAATAGAAAAATATGACTTCTGGCACACAAAAAAAAGATTAAATAGTTACAATGGAATTAGTGACTACAACTCCATCTATTCAAATGCTTTGAAACTGAGACTGTTAACCAATGGTGGCAACTTTCAAGACTTAATAGTTGCTCTATTTTTAAAAGAGCAACAGGAGAGAAGGAAGTTAGGCTTCTCAGTGCTACTAGGGTTTGTCTTGGGTTTGTTGTGTGGCTTTGTCTTTTGGGTTTTTTTAATAGAGAGCAGTAGTTCCATGGTGTAGTAGTGATATACAGCAGGACCTCCATAATTCATACTAGTGACTGAAACCAATTTCAAAATAGTGAGCAAAATAATTAGTGACAGTTTACCGTAAAAAAAGCAAGGATACACATTTCAAAAACAAAATAAACCTGTACTTTGATCATTTAAAAATTTACTTCGTTAATACTTTGTAGTATACTAGCAGTGGTAGCATATTCTGCAAATGTAGTCTCATACAAGATCTCATTTAACAGTCAACTCTAGATCATATACAGGTAACAGAAGAAAGAGTTAAGATAGTTGAGACAAAACCAAAAAAACCCATATATAAATACTGTATTAACATATTTAAGTTAGTTTATGAGACTATACAACAAGCATAAACACAGAAAAAGGTGAGTGATGCCGATGGCTGTAAAGCACCAACATTCCCAAGCCAGCGCAAAGCTGAGCTGACCCATCCACACCCCGTGGCTTCCTGTGGACGTGCCCGAGCAGCCAAGAGGCAAAATAACCGCACGGTGCAGCGCCGCACCCCCGCTGGCGAACCCCACACCGAAGTAGACCGAGGTCCTCTACTTTCCCAGCGCTTTGGCACATACAGCCTTTGGCCAACGCATCGGCATGTGGTAACAGAGCTAGTCTGGCCCTGTAGACTGCATGGTTAGTAGACAACACTGGTAATCCACCCATGGATAATCGAGAGTTGACTGCAATGCCCTGCTGAGAAGTTGGGTCAGACCACTGACACGACCCCGGCCACTCCAGGTCCCCCGAGCAGCAGACTGTTTTGAACCACTTAGGAGCAATTATCATACGAGACACATATTAGAAATGCGAACTAGCGAGGTGTTCTGTATCTGGAGGCAAAGCTACATTCCCTTCACTAACAAAACATTATTTTTTTAAAAAAAAATAAATCTACATTTAAATACTGTTAAAAACCTGAAAACCACAGCATCAAAGAGTTTTATAAGGCCAAAACTATCCTCAGTTCCCTCTGTTGTGCCCAGGGATTACATTACATTTGCAGAAGAAGGAAATACATGTAAATTAGCATCTTATACTCCTTCCAGTGCCTTCCAGTAACAGATCTCAGAGCTCTTCACACAAAAGTTAAGCCTCACAACATCCCTGTGAGGTAGGTATAATCCCCATTTTAAGACAGGGAAACTGGGGCAGAGCGTTTATCATGTCCAGAGTCATAGAGCAAACAATGGAAGATCTGAGTTGTTTTCCAGTTTTGAGCACAGGAGCAGTCAATTAAATCACAAGACATTACTTCCCATACGTAATTTGATGGCAGATAGAAAAGGTTTTCGGTCAGATTTTTTTTACGTTTTATCTTCAGCTCTAACCTAGTCTCTGCCAAATTCACCAAGCCCATAGACCAGCTTCTCGTTTGTTAAGGTGTAAGTTGGCAGCGTACTGTAACAGCTTCTTTAGAGCCAGTTGTCAGTTAACCGAGTTAACATCTAAAACTATAGATTCGGATACTAGATAACTGAAATTAAGTGATACATAAACATCTCAAAAGTGAAATGCAGCGAATGAAATCTCACTCCCTGTCTGGTTCCCCAGAAGTCAGCGGAGGGCTCCTGAGGACACGGCAGGGACCAGGACTGCAGTCACTGCAAGAGCTTAACAGACACACTCAACTACGAGCAAAATGCACCACTGAATTCCTTGTTACAGAGGCTACTGTCTATGCTTAAAAGCATGAATTATACTGCCAGTGCTTGGCAGACTTTCCCCAACAGAGCACTTATTGACAAAACTAATTCTTTTATCTTAGTAAACTGAGCATCGGTTAAAAATGAAGTTCCAGCTCTTCGTTCATAGCACTGAGAGTCAACGATTCCTTACACTTTGAAGACTTTTATGACCGGAAACAACTTGGAAATAAGGAAAACCAACAGAATATCCTTAAAATCTAAAAGTACGTGTTACTTTACCGGTCAGTCTCATGTCTTGATCACAGAGCAGTACACAGGAGCTTGAACTTCCATTTTGATAGAAAAAAAAACAAAACCAAAACCTTTCACATCTGATATTTTCCCAAGCAGTTGATTTTAACTACCTCACTATCTTACCAGATAAACTGGGTACAGTTTCTAATAATCATACGATGTTCTCTTTAAAATACGCTATATGATATATTCATTAGAAAAGCCTTCACATTTATTATTATATAGATTTAAGAAAAATATGTGAAACGGCAAAGTGGTTTCCAGTTTTAAGTAGTTATATCTTTAAAAATGTTCTATGAGCTTTGGTTTCCTTAGGGTTTCTAAATAAACAATATATTAAAATATCTACAAATCAAATATTAAAGAGTAGGTCCAAAAAAATCTGTAACACAAATTGAGTTCCTACATGCTTATCCCTCAAATATCTTTTCACTGGAAAAAAAATATTTTCATTTGAAGCACAGGAAAAGTGTTTCTGCTGAAATGTTGAAACTGGTTTTCCGAAGTTGTTACAGCATCGGTGCACTTTCTGTCTGCCTCAGTCCAAAGTCAACACAAAACACATTGTATCATGACAGCGACATGTTCTTTAAAACAAGCATTCTAGATTTAGCAATATGACAAGAACAAGGACTTCAGCAATTACACTACTTGGCAAAATTGCATCTCAAACGTCTGTCTCTTCCTCTTGCAACACAGCTGTTGTCAAAGTCACCAAAACTCAGGTAGCACCATTCGGGGACTTACAACGACGACTCAAACTGCTCGTTCTGATCGGTGTTTGCCTCTAGCTTAACGGAAGGGATGCTCTCCGACTTAGTCCTCCTAGTTTTTGGAAACTCAATGACAACTTCTGAACAAGAAATACTAAGCGACGAAGACTTTTCCGTCTTCTTTGCAGTACTATCTTCTCCCGTTCCACAACACTGCTTCAAAGCACACTGAGTCCTGCAAGGAAACTCACATTTCCCTCTCCCCGATTCAGAGCCAACGCTGGCAAACTCTGGCTGAATGGTAGTTGCATGAATCCCTTCATCATGAAAGATCTCTTTGATGCGCTTCGCCACCATCATGTACGTGGAAGGGTCGGGACACTTGATGTGAGCAGTGCCAATGATCCTACTGCCTGCCAGCTGCCAAATGTGTAACTCATGGACTGCTTCAACTCCTTCAAGGGTACGTAATTTTGAGTTCAGAGAATGAACATCTATCTGTTTGGGAACAGTCTGTAGAAGTATAAGGGCCGACTCCCTAAGTAACGGGTAAGTTGTGTACAGGAGGATACAAACCATTATCAGACAAAGAACAGGATCTAAATATAGTAACCAGCATGGACCAGCCACTGTAATGCTCTCTTGCTCAGACTCGTTTGCTCTGCCAAGTGTTTGGGATAAAGTAGCATTTTCCATGCAATGATTATTGACACACGGATTAAAGCAGGGCCCGTCTTTGGGACACGGATTCCACAGCCCATAAAAGAGCAAGGCATTCACTACCACAATTACCGAACCTAAGGCATCTCCAAAAACATGCAGAAAAACTCCACGCATGTTAAGCTGCGCACTAGAGTCTTCTTCAACCTCCTCTACATCCAGAGGATAATGCCCAGCGTTTCCATTCACCTGTAGGTCAGTCATGTTGTCTTTCAGATCACCTGAGAAGAAAAAAAGTAAAATGATTAGGCACGTGCTATAATATTACACATTATTACAATTCCATGTAAAAGAATAACCAACATTAAGCTTGCCATACTGAATAAAAAACTGGAAAGCAAGCAACTCTACCCATAACACCTAGCAACGTTTTCTCTGGCCGAGAAATATTCAGCTGTCCCAAGAAATGATCTGAATTAGGAGGCAATTGTTTCTACACGGAGCTTAAAGATGTAGAATAGCAAAGTATGACGATAAACTGCATTTTAATTTGTTCTACTGAAAAACTGTTCTCACATTTTCCAGCTGTTTAACCATTTGACCACTGTTCATTTCTTAAACAAAAATGAAGAATTACAAAGCATATATAAAAAAGCTGGTTAAGTAGCTAAGCAACTTGTATTTGTTTCCTCTTTTGCAAAGCCAGAAGGCTAATCACATTGCTAAAATCTCTCTTAAACCATAGAACTGCATTGCTATTTTACATTAAGTTTTATGAGGCCAGAAGCTCCAAAGCTGTATGTGTTATAGTAAGTTCTCAGGTTTAGCAGTTCATTTCCAAGACTTCTGAATTCAAGGAAAAGGAAGTTTTTCTGAGATGGCGCACAGAGCCAGCAGAACTGTGAGATACAATGAGCTGAGCTTTTAGGTCTAAAAGGCAGGACTTATCAGAGTATTGACTACAGGGCAATGTAAGTTACCACTGGAGCACTCAGAGGCTATGAACTAGTTATTTATATTTCAGCATTCATAAAAAATACATATTTTTAGTACTTTATTTTTATGTGACATACAGCTGTTCAATGACATATAGCTGTTGATGCCCAAAGCCACACGTTACAGACCCTGCAAAGCATAAATGAACATTTTAGTGCCTCCCTTTTTCAAAACTGCCTGTGATACTACCACTCCTTCACACCTAACTAGCTATATAATGCACATAACAAAGGATCATTTCTGAAAGGAAAACAACTTCCAATGTTCAAAATGAAAAGTAAATACTTTGATTACATGATTAACCTCATACTTCTCTTCTGAAGTTTCTTTAGACAGAAAACTTCCAGAGTTCCAGAAACGTAACAGGCATAGGCCCAAAAAACTGAGACAAGCTCTTACTGCTTCTGTGGTTATTTAGTTCAGAGCTTTGTAAACATTAACGTGTGGGCATGACCTGCAGTTTGTGCCACTCTGCTCTCATGCCTGCAGTTCTGTAATCATAAAGAAGGGGTGAGGTCCCAGGAAGGCAGCTGGGCAGGTCAGTTCCAAGCCCCAGGCTCATAACCTAATGCCTTACACTTCTGTCCTAAACCTCCAGCTGCATCTTCCACACAACTTCTAGGAGTTACGGAATATAGAACCTGCAACTTTCCAGAGAAGTCAATAAATTAGAGAAAAATATCTCAGGTTACAGAGTTCAGGCCTTAGGGTCCGAAGTGAGAGGAAGGGAAGAGGAACTTACTTCGCGCTCTGCTGTGTGCCAAGCACTAGCAGAAAAGTTTGGGAAGTCAGCGGACCTATCTCGAAGGATGGGTAACAGGAAGCACAGCTCCAGAAAGCTTTTTTTATTAAATTATTTCAAAAGGTTATGAAGTGCCCATTTCAAATATGCTCATTTAAATCTAAACATAACCTGACTACTTCACGTAAAGTATATGCACAGAAACACCTGTGCGGGACTCGACTCTAAGCCTATCGCTAGCTTTCCACTTCCACTTTAGGAAATCAGAGTCTACCCCTCCTTGTAATTTCCAGTGCAGGCATAGTACCACTCTCTGTCATTTCCCTAGTCTTCACCCACACATCTTGCAGCTTCTCACAAGTCTCCGAGCACCCTTCTCTGTAACATTTCCATGGGTAAACTATGAATAACTCCATCCATTACATAATCATGACAGGGCACAGAAGGAAATAAAAACTTGTTTCAAAGTTTCACTGTGACCAAAATTATGACCTATTACCACTTAAATACCCACAACAAATTATTTGTTATTGCCAGAAGGACATCCATGAGAAATTCCAGAGAAGCTAGATCAAAACAGTAGACATTTTAATCCATGCTATAAATTAATCTTCTAGTCTAGAACTCATCCAAAACTTTTCATCGTGTTTCACTATGCAAGAATAATGCACAAGCCAGGGTATCTGTCTGATCAACGGTTAAGGGAATTTTACACTGTTTGAAATTAATTATTAGGATACCTTTGTTGGAAACTAAACCAACACTAAGAGCTTATTATGGTGTCAAGAAAACGGTATACTATATTCAGTGGAACTTTCCTATCCTCTCGCAAAACCTGTCTTTTCAAAACTGACATGGAATCAAAACACTAGAGAGAGACGCCAAGCTTCTCCGAAGTATATTTGAACCTCTGACCACAGGAAAACTGAAACTGTAGCAAAGTTCACTCTGCTCAGTTATAACTGTGTTTAAACTAACACACTGGTCTCCCAATGTCACCCTGAAAATGAAGGAGACACATGGGTTCCGAAGACTGAAACCCCTTTCTCCTGTTAACAGGGATGCCATATAATTAGAGAAACAGCATTTACGCACCATTCAACTCTGCTAGCACGCAGTACTTGGCTTCGACCAAGTGTCTTCAAAATAAACTATCCAAGCTTCTGGATTCACTTTAAAAAAAAACCACCAAGAAATTCCCACCCACAAAGCAGACAGTTTGATCACAATTGGGAAGGCAAGATTTTAAATTTATCTCTATGTGCAAGTGAGTGGGAAGGTGCATACTTTAGAAAGCTAAAGAAAACTAACTCAAAGAAACCACGCATGTACTCTGACACCAGTGAGCTCTGCATTCAGTGCCTGCTGCATGGCTTCCACAGTCCTGACTGGCAATTTCCCAGACTTCATCCTATTAACACAGATGTCCCAACGAAATAATATTGCGAAGGAATACACCTCAGTACGTTATATTCAGATTGAGATTAGCTTCTTTTAGCGCTTCAAGGAAAGGTGTGAGGCAGAGGCGTAACAGCCGTGTGCCCAAGATCACCACCGAGGAAGTTTTTTGCCTCTTGCTCAAGAAGAAGGACGGATGGTCCCCACAAAGCTTGCACCAGGTGGGACAAGGATGCCGTCCTTGGTGAAGGGACACCTCCCGCTTTCCGGACACCTCTGTGCTGGGATGGGGCAGGACTTACCTAGCCTCTCCTGGCTG